GGTTCGAGTCCAGCCCGAGCTGAGCAGCCGCTGAGCTGCCAATAGGTAGCAGGATGGCTCAGCTAAAAAAAAAAAAAAAAAAAAAGAGTGAACGTAGTCACAGGTGAGGAGAAGATGGTCTTCCTTTCCAAAGTAACTGCTTCAGGTGAGGTCGGAATAGGATCTTCAAACAAGGCAGAAATAGTCTCATTATATAAGGGAAGAGGCTTTGCTTCTACTGCCAAAAGGGGTTTGGGAGTTTGGGGACTTGAGGTACTAGAAATTACCCAAATCCTATTTTATGGTCCCATTTCTACTCCCAGATTCCTATTTTTTCCTGATGATAACTCTTTATCACACATGAAATCTGGTGACGCTGATAATTCAATTGACTTTGTAATTTGGCAACTTGTTGACAAGGTTCTGAGTTTGGCTTTTAGCCTTGCGAGTCAATTAATAAATTCTTTTAGTTCTGTTTTAGAAAGAATATAAATTTTTAAGTCTTGAGCTGAGAATTTAGGACTCGGAGGGTGCCATTGCTTTTCTTTAAGTGGTCCAATTTTAAAGTCATCTCTTGAGTTCATTTGAATTCCCCTTGCTCTTCATGTTTGTTTGTTTGTTTGTTTGTTTGTTTGTTTAACCATTCCATTTGGTTTCCCAAAGCCTTGTCTTTAATGGGTACTTCAATCCAAGTGACCATAAGTGGTCATTTACTTAGCTGTTTTTTTCTTGTATGCTAAGGGCTTCCTGAGCCCATATCTTTATATTAGTTGAATCTCAGCCTTCATTCCAAACCAAATCAGATAACCAATCCCCAGATTCTTCTCATTCTTCAAAATGCTGTTGTTTGCAATCGCACTTCGGGTGACCTTTGCTCTTTTTCCTACTGTCCTTGCTGGTCTTATTCTGCTTCCTTGAAATTTGAGATAACAATTTCGGGGTATTGAGCATGACTCTTTTAGAGGTCACTATAATAAGGATGGACAAGTAGTTTGCCTTAAAAGAAAAACTTGGACAGTGTTAAGTGGCGACTTTCTTTTGATCTCTAGGCATCTTACTTAGATCTGCTTTTTGGGTTGGGAGAGGTGATTCAACCTCAGTTGCAATTTTCAAACTGGAGTAGGACAGTCCCATCACTGCCACCTCATCTACGCACATGGAGATTTACAAATTACAGATTGTAACCTGCCCTCCACTGTTTTTTTTTTCTCATCCCAGCTTCTCAGCCACCTGGGAGATGGACAGAGGAAACACAGATGTGCTCGCCTTTGAAGTTGAGAAAAAAAAAATGAAGTGACTTGCCCAGGCGCCCCAGGGTTGGCCATTAGCTGGGCCAAGAGTCAAACACAGTAAAACCTTAGATTGTGAGTAACGTGGTTTGAGAGTGTTCTGCAAGGTGAGCAAACATTTCTAATACATTTTAACGTGGCAAATGAGTGACATCTTGCAATACAAGTAGTTTGTTTCCGGACTGAATTATGCTCGCAAACCAAGGTATTACTGTATACATCTTCCCAGACCCTCCATTCTGACCTCCCTGTTAAGCGCTGCCATAACATTTTCTGGCCCAGTGCAAGAGTACACATGGGGGCCCGTGTACTATTGTCTAAATATTTAAAAGCAATAATCAACTGTTAAATAAAATGTACTCTATACTTCTGTCTTGACAAATAGTCACAGTGTGGAGTCTCCAGAAGCAGATAATGAGACTGAGTTTGGCCTGACTGGTATAGTGATCTAACCTGGGAGGAGGCAGAGGGAGGAGTCTGACTGTAACGCAGGCCCTACCAAGCCTCAGCCAACCCCATGGGGTGTTCTAGAGCACGTATGGCCCCTTAGACCACACCAGGGTTAGGTGAACCGGCTGGGCCACCCCTTCCCAGCGCCAAAGGCCCAGCCTTTGGATGAGGACGTTCCGTGTAGCTGCAGCAAGAGCTGACAACTGAGCAACAAGTCCTTCCTCTACCAAATGCTCCCTAATAACAATCGCTTCAGTTAAGAAAAGGGCAGCAGGACTAGAGGCCTTCCTTCTCTTCCCGTTCCTGAAGGGCCCATTCCTCACGTCCAACCTCCGTCTGCCTCCATGGCCGCCCTCTGGGCCTATAGGCACACCACACAGGGGTTTGAGCCACCCAGGGAAGACAAAGGGGTAGCAGATCCCCTACCCCTAACACTGTGGAGCTGGGCAGGGAATTTCAGGGTCCCCAGTACTCAGAGATTAGTCTAAAACAGGATGGGGCACATGTCCATTCCTGGGCAACTGGGGTGCAGGTGGAAGGTCCCTGAGGGAGAGAGGCAGGCGAGCGACCGTCTTGCCCGGGTCTAAGGTACTGCTACCAAAGATCATCCTGAGATGTTGTGAGACATCAACGAGAAATTGCTTAAGGAAGGCTCTGAATTTCTTGAAGAAGGAGATTGACTCCAGTTAATATTAAATAAAGGCTTAAAAATATCTCCATGAGTACTAGCGATTGTAACTATTAGCTGGACTCCTGGTGGTAGCTGTGCCCGCGCTTCAGGTCACTCTCGGGTTGGGGGTCGCCCTTGGTCCAACAATTCTTTCCTGTGGTGGAATCCTGCCTGCGGGTATAGCTCAGGATCACTCTCCCCGTCCGCCCAACCTCAGCCACCTCCCAAGGGCCGAGCATAGCCGGGCGCTTTCGGGCACGTGGGGGAGCCGAGGCAGGGACAAGAGATACCGAGAGCCAGAGTGATCGCGGCCGGAGAGGGAGGAGGCGGCCGGGCCCAGCCTGACGCAGCGGCGGGCGGCGGAACAGGCCACTGTCTGGGCGCCCCGGGCACGAGTACCAGCCATCCCTCCGCTTTCTCCTCGCTCGGCTCCGCGCGCGTGGGAGTAACTGCGTCGTGCACCCGCCGGGGGTCACGGGCTCGGGCACCCCCCGCAAGTGAGCCCGGGCAGAGGGAGGCGCAGGAGCGCGCGCGACTGGCGGAGGCGGGGAAAGGAGCCTGCGAGGCGGAGGCTCCCCAGCGGAGGGGGAGGTGGAGGAGAGAGGGACCCGCCCGCCGCGGTCCGGCTGCCGGGCATGTGCGGCCACAGGCGCCCGTTGCCGCCGCTGTCCCGGGGCTGAGTCGCGCCCGGGTGTTCCGGACGGTGCGTCAGTGAGTGTGTGTGTCCGCGCGGGCAAGCGCCGCGCCGCCCCGAGCCGCCAGCTTGCTCCCCCGGCCGCGGTGCATGTTCGCCTCCTGCCACTGTGTGCGGAGAGGCAGGAGGACCATGAAAATGATCCACTTTCGGAGCTCCAGCATCAGATCGCTCAGCCAGGAGATGAAATGCACCATCCGGCTGCTGGACGACTCGGAGATTTCCTGCCACATCCAGGTGCGGGAGGCGCGGTGAGGGAAGCGGGGGGTATGCGGCCGGCGCAGGGCGGGGGGCCTCTGCGGGTGGGCGTGCGCGGACCGGGGCGAGGGACCCACCCTAGGGCCCTGCTAGAATGCCAGATTTCGCTTCCTCCGCCTTCTGAGGCTGGGAGCCCTACCCAGGGATGGGGGCAGTGTCCCCGGCAGACGCCAGGCGCACGTTATCCGCGCCCGGGCCCCTTCTGGCACACACACTGCGCGCACGTCTCGCTGCACCCAGGTTGGGGGCGCCGGGCAGCAGCCTCCTGGGGGTTTCCGGCCTCGCCGTCCCCTATCCCGCCAGGAAATGGGAGCTCCGATAAATGGTAGGGGCACCTGCAGGTCACCAACTCTTCCTCCCTCGCTGCCTACACGTGGAGAAGGCATGCACCAGCCCGGGTTCACTCATTTTTCTTTCCGGTGCCTGGGCTCCGAAGGTGCCATCAGACCTAGGGACTGGCTCCCTGTCGGACTCCTGCCCGTGGCCTTTACTTCTCTGGGGGTGAGCGGCGGCGAAGTTTCCCGGGAGGGAGAGAGGCCGGGCAGCCCCGGGTTCCAGCCTTCAGGGATGGGGCATACGCTACATGTAACTGGAGCTGTCTGGAAAGGAATCGTGTGAACTCTTGACTGTTTCAGAGAAAGGAAAAGGGCTTCGAGGCTGGCAGAGCTGAGCTCAGGGCTCCGGGAGTCCTGCAGGACCTGGGTCCCGGGAAAAAGCGCCCGTTGGAATGTTGGTGGAAATTCGCTTTTGCCCAAGTTGGGGAAGGCAGCTTTGCTGGCAGCCCCAACCTCGCGTAGTAAGTGCCTTTGGGCTTGCAGGAGAGCTAGTATGAGCTGCAAGGGCGTGTGTGTGTGCGCGCGCGTGTGTGTACTTTCTGTGCATGTACTCGTATATGTAGGCAGGTGTGTGCTCTCTTCCAAGACCCATTCGGCAGGCACAATTTGGAAAGGTAGTGCCCGGGCTCAGTTCTGTTGGCTTCTGACTTTTAAATATGTTTACTTATCTCTGAGATTTCCTCTTCTCACCTACCCCTGTGTTGAATGAAGCTTCATGACTGAGGTTCAAGAGACATGGCACCCTTCCCAGTTCTGGTGAGAGGTGAACCGGGGCAGTGTCTCCCAGCGGCAGGAATCCATTTCTGGGCTGTGTTAACCAAGAATGAATGAAAGGTCTTTCCCATATTTTTTTTTTTTCCTTGGTGGAAGCTTGTGACACGGGGACAGCGGCAACTAATTTGTAAGCTGACAGCTGGCCAAGTTTCAAGGCAGGAATGTGGTGCCCCATGATCTCGCAGGAAAGTAGGCTCCCACTGAATTTTCTGGAGGATCTTGAATTTCATCCTGAGCTAAGTACTGCTGCTAAACTTACTAATAAAAGGATTAGCAGGATAGGCAGTTTTTCTGCTGCCACAGAAACGTTTGGCATGTACTGTCTTGTGATCCAGAGAGAGTCGTTTGTGCACTTTGCCTTACGTCCTAAAGTGGATGTACAAGTCCTTTGCATTCATATTGAATATATATTGAATATGTAGATGATGGAGGGGTCAGCAGCAGGGAGTGGGGCTGCTGAGTTCTCCTTTGCTCTCCCAGCCCTCTGCCTGCCCTGTTCTGTCCCACTTGGAGTTGACCTACTGGTTTTTCCCTGGTTCCGGACTAAGTTTCCTTTAGAATAGGTAAGGAGTCCTCAGAGGATCTGTATTTGTTGTCTGGTGTTCTGGGAAACAATAAATTGTAGCCAGTCTAATTAATAACAGTTTGGAAAGTTAGACTTTGTACAGCCCAGCTGATGCCAGAGGTTAAAATGCTATGTTCCAAAATGTTGATTTTGGCATTGCTTAAAACACACACACACACACACACACACACACACACACACACACACACACACACAGAGTTTTATTTTGTGGCACATTTTTTTCTGCCCCTTCTGCTCCCAAATGGTGATTATCATTTAAACCAATTAGAATAAATTAAAAGATTTTATTTTGATAATCTTAGATCTTATACTTTCCTAGATTCTAAACCCAGGGATTGAAATTACTCCTGGGTGTAATGTCACACACAAAAAAACTTGCCATTTATTTAGAGTGAGAACAATTTTTTTTGTTTTGTTTTTGTTTTTTTAAAAGAACCCTTTGGAGTCACCGTACATGTCTTCCTCCCTCCCCTTCTTCCTTGCTTTTTCCCTCTGTTCCTGGGAATCACAAAATTAAAGGAATGTATGGACTGTTGCGCAGTGTGACACGCATTGTCCCTTTATAACCCGCACAAAATGTGGGTTATGGATTTTTTTTATAAACAATAGCTTTTTAATCGTCCTTTTCTAAATTATATAATTTTGGCAATATTTTGGCAAAGAAAACTTTCAAATGAACAACTTAATGGCCTGGTCTTAGCAGCATTATAGCCAGTTCTAGCAGGAGATGCTGAAAGTCACTGGCTATGTCTCTTTTCACAGAGTCTGGGATGCTGTCCCATCATACTATTTGCATGTGAATGTTTAGGTAGTGCGGAAGAGGAATTCCAAATGGACAGGAAAGTCAAATGAAAGTTTAGGGCACTGGGCCTGGGGAAAGGAAGGAGTCACTGAATGCCCCCTACTGGGCTTTTCCAACTGAGCCAACCTTGGAAGTCTGGAGACTGTAGAAAGACATGGCTTAGCTCTAACCTCTTTCATTCAGTCTTGCTGCTTCAAGTAGAGGGAGGTTCTAGCCATCTTCCCCATTCTATCCACTTTTGCAGATGCCAGCATTGTCATTTTTAATACTGACTTTTATTGGGTAAAAGGTAGGTTTTTCACATTATTCATTCTTTAGCAAAGCCTGGTAAACATGGTTGATATAGTTGGAATTGGCTGGAATTTGGATTTGTATTTGAATAGAAATCCTAGCATAGTGCTTAGCACTTAGTAGTTACTCAGTAAATATTTATAGGTGTAGATTGGATAATTTCCTTACTCTACTGTTAAATCCATGAGTGTAAGAACATTTTATTGTTATTGTTCATCAAGGAGTCCCCAATACCAAGAGTAGTAACTGGCATATAGTATGTGTTCAATAAACGTTTGTTTAATTAATGAGGGCCCAATATTTAGTCTAGCTCATTACCTATCAACATGAGGGTAGCATGCCAACACTGCATTGGGAATCAGGGGATGTATGGTTTAGTTATATTACCAACCAGTTTAGTGACATTGAGTGAGTTATTTGATATTTGGAGTTAATGTTTCTTATTTTGTAAACTAAGGGAGGACCTGGATTAGATGGATGACTTCAGTTTAAAAAACCTATAGTTTAATTATTACCTAGACCAATTAATTGCATTCAAGTAAAACATTGCTGTTGACAAAGTGGTTGTATATACATTATCTCATGTGATTTTCATCTCTATCTTGCATTATCTCCATTTTGTTGATGTTATGGTGTTATTGAGTATTATCTGAATCTTACAGATATGAAAAATGAGGTTCAGAGAGATTAAGCAATTTGGTCACCTAGCAATGAAGTGGATAAGAACTCAAAATTCAGAGCTCTTTCTTTTCTGTAGCGCTGCCTCTTGAAACTTGAGAATTAGGACGCTTTTGGCTGCAAGTAAAACAGCAGCCAAGCTAAAGTGGCTTAAATTATAAGAGCACTTATTATCTTACCCAATGAGGAGTCCAGAGGTAGGACAGCTTCGGGGTTGATCAGCAGCTCTGCATGAACCCATGTGCTTTTTGTCTTTCCGCTCTGCTGTCCTCCATGTCAATTATGTCACTATAGTCATCATGGTTATAAGATGGCTGCAGTCATTCTGACACTACAACATCCACCATATGAAAGGTGGTATTTCCTCATGCATTTCTGTTTTTCTTTAATTGCTAACACTTTTATTAATTGCAATAGGTATCATTTCCAATATAATCCATTCAAACACAAGCCTGTTTTATGTGCTTCATTAAGACATGGGAATATTTTGCTTAAGAGTTTTCCAGCCCTCTTTCCAGTTCTTTTAGTTTTTGTTGTCTATGACTCGGAGAATTCAGCACAAAAAGTCTCCTAGCCTTTTTATTTTTCTTTCTTTAAATCTCCACTTATCCCTTCAAAATTCTCTTTGTGGCAATATACATTTTTGGTGGCTCTACCTGCCGAAGGCAGCTTTTTCCAAACGGTGATAGAGTTTAATTCTCACTTTCCACTACTCCAGCCTCTGCTGGCTCTCTTGAATTTTTGTTTTCAACCTCTAACTTCTTTTTCTTATTTGCTTTTCATTCTGGGTTAAGCTGAGCAATCTCTTCATTTTTCTCAATGATGTATCTTAGCAGTGAATTACTCCTCCTGGCTAAGAGCTTCACATCTTTGGGGTTAATTGTGCTTCTTTTCATGTATCTGTGGATAAAGGAATCACTGCTGTTCCTCTGCCCCCTCCTCTTCCACCATCACAACGGCTGATCCAGGCAGGTGTGTGAGCGCATAAAAAGCCCTCATGCATTACTTTTTATCATGGAGGGACATCTTTCCTATAGGCCCCATTAGTCTTCTCATCAGATCCCACTGGCCAGGCTTGGGCCATATACTCATGCCCTAGGAACATGTGCATCTGGTGTCTTCACTCTTCACTCTCTGTAAGGGGAGGTGGGCTTTGTCATTATGGAAGAAATGGAGGGGCATGTTTGCGTTTCTCT